TTTGTAGCACGTTGAAAATTTGGTAAACCGCCGTTTTTAACCTAAAATGTCAGATCTAGTGGTGCAGACCAATTTTGTACCAATTGTCCAGAGATAGAATTTAATGAATTTGAGCTACGTCGTTGAACTACCTACTGCCGGTTCAAATTTGAACCACCAATTCAAAATTAAATAATCGGAAAGGATTAAATTTGAACTTCTCGGCGGTAAGCAGTTTGAATTTATTAAATTCTATCCCCGTACTAACATCCAAGGATTTACAAAACTACAATTAATCATAATTTTCCAGGCACACGTCACAGGTTTTTGCTTGTATTATCAGATCAAGAAAGTAAAGTAGATATTCCTAATGTTAAAAAAGAAGAAAATTGGTCCAGAATTAAGACTTTGGCGTACTGTTTTTGAAAAACGTGTATTTTCCTGAGATTTTTTTTAGAAAATAACGTGTTATTTTGCTGTCAAGGGGCAAACATCCGAATTTTAAAACTTAATATTTTCATCGTTTTTTGTGTTTTTTATTATTCGTTTAGATTTGTTTTTCCTATATTTAGATGTTTTTTTTTATGAGTTTGATAGAACTGAAAAAAAAAAAATTCTCTCTCGAAATCTTTGTTTTTTATTGATAGTTTGGAAATTTAATATGCTTTTTTAGTGTCTTTTAGTAAAAGTAATATTAATAGTCACGTAAAACTACATGTTATTTAAAAAAGAAATTATTCTTAAGATGAATCTTATAAAACTATTTCTCTAAGGATGCTGATGCGCGTGCGCACTTTCGACTCTTTCCGCGCACTCTTGGTGATATTCTTGCCACCTTTAGAGTTCAAGAACTTAAACTTGCACTCACGCAGGTCAGAATAATAAAGTTCAACGTTAAAGGGACTGTCAACGTTATTTCAAGTGACCTTCCTTGCCAGTGCTCAATTCACAAACTCCTACAATCTACACCTTTATTAATATCATCTTTTTCATATCCTAAAGCTTGCTGATACTGCCAATATTATTCCTTATTCCTTTTCTGTCCTGTGAACAGGGAAGGCTTATGGTGTTTTTTATCTATTCTTAAAAATCTCTCTTCTTGCGCTCCTGATTTTTCCAGGGGGGGGGGACATCCCCTAAACTTTCCAGGGAGTGGGACGTCCCCCGCCCCACCCCATAAGCTACCTCTGCCTGTGAATCCGCATTTCACTTTTGAATAAAACAACAATTAAAAATTACAATGTTTAAGATAGAAAAAATGAATTCCTTTTTAATTTCGTGACTTTAAATGATGTTGACAGTCCTTTTTAAGTAATTTAAAAAAAAAAAATCATCTTTCCACCTCTTTTAAGGAATTATCTCTCCGTTCTCTCAATTAATTAGATCAAATTTTGCACAACTTAATTCAATTATTTTCCAAATAAAAGGAAATGGAATATTCCAACCTAAATATAAGTTGAAGGAATTGAATGAGAAAGGTATATTTCTAGCCCCTCTCCCACTCCCCAACCTTCCTTTTCAAATGCAAAACCTTAATAATTCTAATTCTATGTTTCTCTCTTCACCTAAACTAACCTGGGATGTCATGATTAGGCATCTGAAAATGGAGGAAAGTCTCAGTCAAATTAATTACATACTTTTCTTATTAGTGTTTAAAACCAATGGAATAAATCAAACATGTCAATTCCAACCATGTGACTACAGAATAATTACTATAAAATTACTGTGTGTTAAAGGGATTTTGGCGAACTGAAAAGTGGGGATATCCAGTAGAATCAGCTCCTCCGGGGGGAATGGTTGTGGCAAGGTGATATTTTTTTCCAAAACAATTTAAAATGTTCAGGATTGTTTGAAATTGTTTGATTCATTGATTTGTTAATTAATTAATTGATTAATAGATTGATTGGGTGTTATTCACGATTGATTGATTTCATTGATTTTATCAATGTGATCGTTGAAATTGATTTAATTGTTTTAATTGTTGGAATTTACTGGATTGATTTAATTGGATTTAATTACTGTAATTAATATGTTTGATTTAGTGATTTCCCAGGTTTATGCCAACAGTAGAGAATGTGAACGAAGCTTGGTCTGGATTGATTATGATTGATTTTTTCTTGATTGATTGATTGATTGATGGATGGATTGATTGGTTGAGTGATAGATGAGATAACTAATCGATTGCCAACTGTAGAGAATGTAGACGAGGCTGATTATGCTTGATTATTTTTGATTTATTCATTGATTGATTGATTTTCTTAATTAATTGCTTGATTGATTGATTTCCTAGGTTTCTGCCAAGTGTAGAGAATGTAGACGAGGCCTGGTCTGGATTAACCAGCTCTCTTGCTGGTCTTCTCTGCGCATCCTTAAATAAATTGGATCAAAGAGAGGTATCATAATGTTCACTGTACAGGGGAGTAAAAAAAGAGAGGTATCATAATGTACAATGCACAGGGGAGTAAAAAAAGAGAGGTATCATAATGTACAATGTACAGGGGAGTAAAAAAAAGAGAGGTATCATAATGTACACTGTACAGGGGAGTAAAAAAAAGAGAGGCATCATAATGTACACTGTACAGGGGAGTAAAAAAAGAGAGGTATCATAATGTACACTGGACAGGGGGAGTAAAAAAAGAGAGGTATCATAATGTACACTGTACAGGGGGAGTAAAAAAAGAGAGGTATCATAATGTACACTGTACAGGGGGAGTAAAAAAAGAGAGGTATGATAATGTACACTGTACATGGGGAGTAAAAAAAAGAGAGGTATCATAATGTAAACTGGACAGGGGAGTAAAAAAAAGAGTGGTATCATTATGTACACTGTACTGGGGAGTAAAAAAAGAGAGGTATCATAATGTAAAACTGTACATGGGGAGTAAAAAAAGAGAGGTATCATAATGTACACTGTACAGGGGGTGTAAAAAAAAGAGAGGTATCATAATGTACACTGTACAGGGGGAGTAAAAAAAAGAGAGGTATCATAATGTACACTGTATAGGGGGGGGGGGGAAAAAA